CCTCTTACAAACCAATCAGAAACCCAGGACAAATTAGAATATAAAAATAATACAATTTAGGGCAAATGTTACCAAGTGCTGCAGTATGGGGCAAAGATCTAAAAGCAAAGCCCTAAATCAAAGATAATTGACATTCAAGATTAGCCTAGTAGTGCATTATATAGACACCTGGACAAACAATGAAGTTGATAGTTTGCTGACATCAATTTCTTATTGGTACAAATAGGAGATGGAAACAGTAAGTGTCACACAGCACAATTCATTGTGAATTGGGAAGACTTCTTTAATTCCCCCAAATTTAAAAATCACTCAGAGTCCTCAATTACGTTAAAAAGACAAAGTGCAATGATTTACTCGTTATGATTGACACATCCAAAATAAAATGACCTCCCCCCCAAACTAAAATGGGACCAAAGAGCTATCCTTCAAGTGGAAACAAATAGTAATATCAGGCAAAGTAGAATTTGGGGTAAGTTTTAATTGGCTAAATGGTTAAAAAGTTCATCTGTGGCTGTAAGATACAATCAGTAGTGAATACCTTACAGCCTTGACTCATTTTTACCAAACAACATGTCAAAAGTACAAAGGAAAAAACACTAGAAACAGGAGAAATTGAAAAATCACTAGTCATGGATGATTTTCATGCCCACCAGCAATGAAAAATAGATCAAATGATAAAAAGACATCTGTTTAAATACATTGCTATTTCTGTTATCACATCATTCAAAACTCAGATGGATTTTTATTCAATAGGCAGAGTATATTTAGCATGGTCTGTTTTTAAGCATAGACTATGACATAGTCCTGTAATTCACTTTGGGGGGGGGCCTTAGAAACACCTGCAGAAAGGCATACTGTGGTCCTCCAGAGTAGCTCAAACCCACGCTTAACAAGAGGCTTGGACGACTGCAAAAGATACAGTCCTTATGTGTGTGCAGGCAGAGAAAAAGGACAGTGTTTCAAACATGAACCCCATACTCAAAATCATACTGTTACCACCCTTTTGAGTCAGACCCCAACAAGGGTCCTCCTCACCCATATCACTGGAACCAATAGAACGAGACCAAACTTGGTTCAGAAGCACAGGAAAGCTTTATTCTTTGATGAAAGAACTGAGAGGTGCGAGCTCCCATTCTAGAGCAGGTGCTCTCCTGGATAGGCTGTGGGCGGAGCTTCTTTATCCTGCTCTTCACAGACGGGGAGGGGGCGAGTTCTCCAGGGGCTTAGGCAGGTGTGCTTCTTAGGCTCCAGACCGCAGTGCCTCGGGCAGCGTCTCTGCACACGGCCCGCCACTGCCATCTTGAATTGTGTCGTGTGTAGCACTTGTGCACTGCCCAGCGAGACAGCAGAGCATTCGGGTGCATGGGTTTTGTGCTGGTAACTAATCCAACGTGTTAGGTGCAAGACCTCTGCATATGGTCCCTTATAGGCCGGCGAAACTAGACTAAGCACAAAAGAAGGGGTTAGACCTTATCACCTGCATTCCATCTTATGTTTCCTGGGGATGCCAGGAGGCTTTACTGGTGACAAGGACGGATCTTCTGTCTGTTAGCTGTTCATTTGTGATCAGCTGCTTTGTGCATGCAAACTCTGTATACTGCAAGCCAGGATGAGTATCAGTCAGGATTTTATTTGATAATAGCGATTCGCCAAAGCAGCAAAGGAGAAGTCAGCTGGTGAGTTATATCATTGTAACAGGCAGCGTCTAACAGAGCTGCCAGTGATTCCTGTCTCCTGGGGTTCATGCCTTTGTGAATGAAATCTCTTCCTCTCCAGTGCGAGCTGGACCCAGAAACTTGCTCCTAAGGAGTGGAATACAGCAAAAAACATCTGGGACGTTACACTCCAGCTTTGGTAACAGAAAAGACTGTGGCTTTTGCCTCACGTGCTTGCTCTGATGGAAACCAGCTGCCATGCTGTGAGAGGCTCACATGGGCAAAAAACTGAGGGAGGTCCCTAGCCAACAGCCTGTCCAGAGCTGGAGGCCTCAGTGCAACAACCCATGAGGAACTGAATCCTCCTACAGCCGCATGAACCTTCTTGGAAGTGGAAACTTCCGAATCCAGCCTTGAGATGGCTGCAGCCCCCGCCAACGCCTCTGCTGCGACCTTGAGAGAGACCCAGAGGACCCAGCTGAGCGGCGCTCAAAATCACCCAGAAACCGTGAGAAAAATGTTGTTTTAAGTCGCTAAATTTGGGGGTAATTTTTTCTGCAGTCATAGATAACTAATGCAATCATGACTATTAAATCAATGGCTATACAAATTATACACAAATCCATAGCATACTTTGTTGATAAATACGATACATGAAACAGTTATAAGCCTTGATGTTATACTCGGCTACAAGGGAAATCTCAACACATGTAAGAAGGCAGAAATCGAACATTTCATCTTCTCTGGTTAGGAAACACATTTTTATTTAAGTGGAAACCAAAAAAACTCTCCAATTACTTGGAAATGTTAACTTTTTTGTATCATATTAAATGGTGCATAAAACGTGCATATACTGTTTAATAGTTATAAAGTGACCATTCAAGAAAACGCCGTGCAGGTCAAGAAACAGAACCAGAGGTGAACACTATCCTGATGTTGGGATAACACATGTACTCTCTTGTGTCTTTCTCCCTAGCTTAGCACTGTCTCAGATCAGATTCCTCCCCTGCAGAGGAGAGACAGGGATTCAGGTGTGTGTGATTTGTGGAGCTCGTACCCTCAGGAAAAAGGTGGTAAAGGACACAGGGACAGGGCAGGGACAAGAGCTAAGCAAGGATGAGGTCTCGGCTTCAGCCTGATCCCCAAGGGACCATGGAGCCTGGAAAGCACCACTGTGTTGGTACCGCGTGTCATAAGCAATCTTTGGCCTGGGTGTACTGGGGGCGGCCTTCAGGTCGGGCAATTTTCCAGAGCAGGGGCCACCTGTGAACTATTAGCAGGCAACGCTCATAGGGGCTGAGGAGTGGGTGCCCTGGCCTGAAAAAAGGGATGTGGGCAGCATCCACTACGTATTATGTTTGAGATTCACCTCACTGTCTGTGTGGCTGCAGTTCATATGATATCATTGCCGAATAATATTCTATTGTATGAATATATCATATGCTGCCAATGAACATTTAGGTTGGTTCCCGATTTGTTTATTACAAACAATGCTGCTTTGGCTATTTTATCATTACTATGTCAGACGGGTAAAAGAGTATGTCTAATACCTAGGAGGGGAATTTTGGAATTGTAGGGTATGTGTCTCTTCTACTTTATTATATTATAAAAAAATTGTTTTCCAGGCTTCGCTGGTGGCGCAGTGGTTGAGCGTCCACCTGCCGATGCAGGGGACTCGGGTTCGTGCCCCGGTCCGGGAAGATCCCACATGCCGCGGAGAGGCTGGGCCCGTGAGCCATGGCTGCTGAGCCTGCACGTCTGGAGCCTGTGCTCCGCAACGGGAGAGGCCACAACAGCGAGAGGCCCGCGTACCGCAAAAAAAAAAAAAAAAGATTTTCAATTTATAATACCACCAGCATTGTTTGGTAGCATTGCTCCACTTGAATCTCTGGACTTAGCCATTCTGGTAACTTTTAATGGTATCTCACTGAGGTTTTACATCTTTTTTTTTTTTTTTTTTTTTTTGAGTGAAAACAAAGATAGCTTTATTGAGGAAGCCGACCATCCTGGGGAGAAGCTAGACTCACGTTCCAAAAAAACAAATCCCCACTGCTAATCAAGGGCAAGGGATTTTAAAGGGGAATCTCAGGAATGCACAGGCCTGGGGGGGTGGCTGCGTGAAGCGTAGCAGTCATCTCTGACAATCATCTTGAAACTGTTCACGTGGTGGTCTGGTCAGCATCATCTTGATTGTTTTAAGTGCAGTTAATCTTCAATTCCGGGGTCAGTTTGTTCCCACTTCCTTGAGGTGAGTTCTCAGAATTGTGTAAGATGGAGAAGCTTATGTTGTGGCTGCAGTCTGGTCATCATGTAGTTAACGTCTTGCTTCTGGTGGGGTTTCAGTATCTACAAAACAGCTTAAAGGATATGGCTCAGAATATGATCTATAGCCTTGAGAAGGAACTAAAGATCCTTGACTTTGTTTAATAGCTGAACTATTATTTCATCTTGTTGGACTGTTTTCCTTCATTTCTGCATTTTTCTCATTTCTCTGATTAAATTTATTCTTCAGCTTAAGTTTTTCTACAGACAAAAAGCAGGCAGAGGATATGGGGGTGGGGGGATCTGTCCTGGGAAATCACCATAAGCTCCTGCTCCGTTACAACTCCTCTGCCTTCAGACGCCAATCTCAAGTTCAGGTTATTACCTGTACTTCTGACCACCAGGCTATAAATCAGAGTTTCCCACGAACCCCCCTCCTTGGGTCTGATTAATTTGCTACAGTGGCTCACAGAACTCAGGAAACTCACTAGATTACAGATTTATTACAAAAGATATTAAAGGATATGAGTCAACAGCCGGATGGATACATAGGGCGAGGTATGTGAGAAGGGGCTCGAGCTTCCATGCCCTCTTCAAGTACATCGCTCTCCTCTCCGCCATGCGTTCACTAACCCAGAAGCTCTGAACCCCATCCTTCTGGGTTTTTATGGAGGCTTCAGTACATCAGCACAGTTGATCAAAGTCACAGTACCACATATGTTTTGATGATTTTTACTTGAATCGGTCATTTATTTGTATGACCATAAAAATGGTGTTAATAAGTTGACTTGCATTGTTCTCGAGATCTGTTGAACTCTAAATCTAGGTTCAGTCACTAGGGCTGTGTGGTACTTTGTATCATCTGCCTCTGATTCCTGAAGTCCTGTTTACCATTTCCAGAAGACGGAGAAGAAGGCGAAAGTATGTTTGGAAGGGTATGTTGCCAGGAAGAGAACCGATCTGGAGTCCAGGCTGATGACATCAAATACACTGAATTTGTCTCTCTGTTCACCTTGTTCTGGCTCCAGGGAAATAAAACAGTCACTAGGGAGTGCCATTCTGTAAACCTTGAACGCTCCCATCTCAGAGATCTTGTCCCTGGTTTTGTCTTTGGGCGGAACCTTCTTCGGGTTCTCTTTTCTTCTGGATACGGAGTCTAGATCTTCTGTTTTGAAACCAAATCTGGACTCTTGACTCTGGAACCCCAATATCTTCAGCAAGTTGCTGTCTGGAATCAATCCCAGGATAAGGGTTTTCCATGAACGCATTCATAAGAGTTTGTAATTGGGAAGAAGTATAGCTGGTACGACATCGTCTGTCTCTCACACCTTGAATGTTCTCTTCAGGGTAAGCTCGGTCTTGTCTTAAGTCTAAGTTCTTCTCAGGTCTTTTCAGGAACCTGTGCCTAGCTCTTCGATTCTGAAACCATATCTGGATCCTAGACTCTTCAGTGTTGACTTCCAAAGCAAGTCTTTGTTTGATGGCATAACCCGGGTAAGGTTTTTTGTTGAATGCATCAATGAGGATTTTCAATTGCTCTTCTGTGAATTTGGTGCGGCTGCGTCTACACTTTGTTGCCACGGCCTTGTATGGAGAATTGTCTTCAACCATCTTGGAAGGGAGCTCCGAAGCCTGGTTCCACCAAAAGAGAGATCTTACATCTTTATTGGAGTATAATTGCTTTACAATGGTGTGTTAGTTTCTGCTTTATAACAAAGTGAATCAGTTATACATATACATATGTTCCCATATCTCTTCCCTCTTGCGTCTCCCTCCCTCCCCTCCCACCCTCCGTATCCCACCCCTCTAGGTGGTCACAAAGCACCGAGCTGATCCCCCTGTGCTATGTGGCTGCTTTCTCACTGAGGTTTTAATGTGTTTTCCTTTTTATTAATGATGTTGTACAACTTTTCGTAGATTAATTGGTTTGGAAGTTCTCTTTTTATAAAACTTTTGTTCAAGTCTTTTGCCTAGGTTTATCATATAATGTCTTTTTTTTTCTTATTGACTTGTAGATGTCCTATCTACTGTTACTTTGTTAGTTATATGTGTTGCAAAAATATTTTCCCATTCTGTAATCTGTCTTTTCAGTCTCTCTATGGTGACTTTTAATGAACAGAAGCTTTTATTTATTGGAATCTAATTTATTAAGCTTTTCTTTTATGGTTAAGCTTTTTATGTCCTGATTGAAAATTTTTTTCCTAACATGGAATCATGAAATATTTTTCCACATTATTTTATAAAAGCTTTATAGTTTTACCTTCACTCTTGGGTGTCAATCCACCTATAATTTACTTTGTGTATGGTGTGATGTAGATATTCAGTTTTATATTTTTTTACCATATAAATAACCAGTTGTCTTCAGTTGAACTTTTAATCGAAAAATTCATCCTTTCCTCAATGGTATTAAATATTATCTCTGTCACATATCAGGTTTCCAAATTTGTGTCTTTTTGTAGTCTCTCTATACTATTCCATTGACTTGTTTTCTTAGTTACTGTAATTTTACAGTACCTGGTACACTATTTCTTCTACCTAATTCTTTTTCAAGTGGACCCTGCTAATCTTAGTTATTTGTGTTTCTGTATAAAATTTAAAATAAGCTTGCCAATTTACACCAAAAACAAACCAAAAAAACCTGCCGGGAGTTTTACTGGGATTGCACTTGATCTATTGATCCATTTGGCATATCTCCCAATTTACTTTTTATTAAATTATAATATACATACAGAAAAGTATAGAAACTATAAGTAGACAAATTAAACACACTAAGTAACCAGCACCCAGATCAAAAAACAGAATACCACCAGAATCTCAGGCCTCTAAAGCACCCGTTTTCGCTACCATCCTCACCCACAACAGGTACTAATATCATGTATTAATTTTGTCTACTTTTGAACTTTATTGAAATAGGAAAAATAAGTCACACAGTATGTCCTTGGCTTTTTTTTCATTCAGCGTTATGCTTATGAAATTCATCCATGTTGTTCAGATAGCTATATTTTGTTTACTCAGCGTTGTAGTGTGTAGTCTTCCATAGTATGAATTTATCACAATAGGTTATTCCATTCCATTGTAGATAGACATTTGAGTTATTTCTAGTTGGGGCTATTACAGATAGTAATATACATTCTTGTACACATCTTTTAGGAACGTAAGCATGCATTTCTCTTAAGGAAATAAGTGGGAATGTAATTGCTAGGTCATAAGTTTTGTCTTTGGTACATACTGCAAGCAGTCTTCCAAAATGGAGTGTATTAATTTATACTTCCATGGCAGTGTGTGAAACTTCTAGTCGATCCACATGCTAATCAATACTTCACATACTGTCTTTCTATTTCAGTTTAGCCGTTCTGGGACTGTATAGTGGTATCATGTTGTGATGTTAATTTGCGTATTCCTGTATACGCTTTTTCATGTGTTTATTGGCCTCTGGATATCCCTGTCTGTGAAGGCTCTGTTAAAGTCTTTTTCCCATTTATAAAAGGTTGTCTGCCATTTGCTTATTGATTTATGCCATCTCATCATCCGAATCTATTAGGTTCTTAAATTTAGGCAGTATGTGGCAAAATTTTGTACAGAGAAGGAATTCTATGAAATCCAATCTATTTGTTTTCTGGAATTCACAATAAGAATTTAGATAACGAAGGATACCTGAAGCCACTGTAGGTGTTTTTCTGCTGAATCTGGTTTCTGGTGTCTCATCTCCGATGAGCTTGATAGTATGCTAACTACTCATATTTCTGAGATTCTCTGATGCCTAAGATGATGGTGCCTTCCTCCAGAGAGGTTTTGTATCTGCCGGGCACTTAGAGTCAGTCCAGGACGACTTTAAACCAATTCACGGCATAAATATTTTTTGGACCAACCACGAAAGGTGAATTGCAGTTACAAACTCACAATTTCTGCCAGCATGTGGTTATAACTACCCGGAGACAGAGTTTTTCTTTTCTTTACTCCCTCTGCACAGATAAACATCAAAGGACTTTATTTTTCATGTGTCTCTTGGGGATGAGGATTAGAGAGTGACAGCAGGTTTACTTCCTTTTTTTTTGAATTTTTGAATTTTATTTATTTTTTTATACAGCAGGTTCTTATTAGACATCAGTTTTATACACATGAGTGTATACATGTCAGTCCCAATCGCCCAATTCATCACACTACCCCCACCCCACCCCCGGGGCTTTCCCGCTTGGTGTCCATTCGTTTGTTCTCTACATCTGTGTCTCAACTTCTGCCCTGCAAACCAGTTCATGTGTACCATTTTTCTACGTTCAACATACATGCGTTAATATACGATATCTGCTTTTCTCTTTCTGACTTACTTCACTCTGTATGACAGTCTCTAGATGCATCCACATCTCTACAAATGACCCAATTTCATTCCTTTTTCTGGCTGAGTAATATTCCATTGTATATATATACCACATCTTCTTTATCCACTTGTCTGTCGATGGGCATCTAGGTTGCTTCCATGACCTGGCTTTTGTAAATAGTGCTGCAATGAATATTGGGGTGCATGTGTCTTTTTGAATTATGGTTTGCTCTGGGTATATGCCCAAGAGTGGGATTGCTGGATCCTATGGTAATTCTGTTTTTAGTTTTTTAAGGAACCTCCATACTGTTCTCCATAGTGGCTGTATCAGTTTACATTCCCACCAACAGTGCAAGAGGGTTCCCTTTTCTCCACATCCTCTCCAGCATTTGTTGTTTGTAGATTTTCTGATGATGCCCATTCTAACTGGTGTGAAGTGATACCTCATCATAGTTTTGATTTGCATTTCTCTAACAATTAGTGATGTTGAGCAGCTTTTCATGTGCCTCTTGACCATCTGTATGTCTTCTTTGGGGAAATGTCTATTTAGGTCTTATGCCCATTTTGGGGTTGGGTTGTTTGTTTCTTTAATATTGAGCAGCATGAGCTGTTTATATATTTTGGAGATTAATCCTTTGTCCATTGATTCGTTTGCAAATATTTTCTCCCATTCTGAGGGTTGTCTTTTCGTCTTGTTTATGGTTTCCTTTGCTGTGCAAAAGCTTTTAAGTTTCTCTAGGTCCCAGTTGTTTATTTTTGTTTTTATTTCCATTACTCTAGGAGGTGGATCAAAAAAGATCTTGCTGTGATTTATGTCAAAGAGTGTTCTTCCTATGTTTTCCTCTAAGAGTTTTATAGTGTCTGGTCATATATTTTGGTCTCTGATCCATTTTGAGTTTACTTTTGTGTATGGTGTTAGGGAGTGTTCTAATTTCATTCTTTTACATGTAGCTGTCCAGTTTTTCCAGCACCACTTATGGAAGAGACTGTCTTTTCTCCATTGTATATCCTAGCCTCCTTTGTCATAGATTAATTGACCATAGGTGCGTGGGTTTATCTCTGGGCTTTCTATCTTGTTCCATTGATCGATGTTTCTGTTTTTGTGCCAGAACCATATTGTCTTGATTACTGTAGCTTTGTAATATAGTCTGAAATCAGGGAGTCTGACTCGTCCAGCTCCGTTCTTTTCCCTCAAGACTGCTTTGGCTATTCGGGGTCTTTTGTGTCTCCATACAAATTTTAAGATTTTTTGTTCTAGTTCCATAAAAAATGCCATTGGTAATTTGGTAGGGATTTCATTGACTCTGTAGATTGCTTTGGGTAGTATGGTCATTTTCACAATATTGATTCTTCCAATCCAAGAGCATGGTATATCTCTCCATCTGTTGGTATCATCTTTGATTTCTTTCATCAGTGTCTTATAGTTTTCTGCATACAGGTCTTTTGTCTCCCTAGGTAGGTTTATTCCTAGGTATTTTATTCTTTTTGTTGCAATGGTAAATGGGAGTGTTTCCTTAATTTCTCTTTCAGATTTTTCATCATTAGTGTATAGGAATGCAAGAGATTTCTGTGCATTAATTTTGTATCCTGCATCTCTACCAAATTCATTGATTAGCTCTAGTAGTTTTCTGATGGCATCTTTAGGATTCTCTATGTATAGTATAATGTCATCTGCAAACAGTGACAGTTTTACTTCTTCTTTTCCAATTTGTATTCCTTTTATTTCTTTTTCTTCTCTGATTGCTGTGGCAAGGACTTCCAAAACTATGTTGAATAATAGAGGTGAGAGTGGACATCCTTGTCTTGTTCCTGATCTTAGAGGAAATGCTTTCAGTTTTTCACCATTGAGAATGATGTTTGCTGTGGGTTTGTCATATATGACCTTAATTATGTTGAGATAGGTTCCCTCTGTGCCCACTTTCTGGAGAGTTTTTATCATAAATGGATGTTGAATTTTGTCAAAAGCTTTTTCTGCATCTATTGAGATGATCATATGGTTTTTATTCTTCAATTTGTTAATATGGTGTATCACATTGATTGATTTGAGTATATTGAAGAATCCTTGCATCCCTGGGTTAAATCCCACTTGATCATGGTGTATGATCCTTTTAATGTGTTGTTGGATTCTATGTGCTAGTATTTTATTGAGGATTCTTGCATCTATATTCATCAGTGATATTGGTCTGTAATTTTCTTTTTTTGTAGTACATTTGTCTGGTTATGGTATCAGGGTGATGGTGGCCTCATAACATGAGTTTGGGAGTGTTCCCTCCTCTGCAATTTTTTAGAAGAGTTT